TGCAGTGAAGATATCCTTTGTATCATGATCTTTCAGTTTTTGAGAATTGAACTTAGCTTGTAGTCTGTCCGCAGCCCCTGTTTCCCTGAAAGCTTTTAATTTGATTTGGATTGTCCCTTGTACGAGACATTGATCTGAGCCAGCGTCTGCTCCTCTTCTTACTTTTGTGTCCAGTAGGCTGCGCCTCCACTTCCTCGAGCAGCATTGAGATGAAGTCGATTTGGTTTTGGTTTACCCATCTGGTGACACCCATGTAGCCTTGCGGCTATCTTTGTGTCTGTTTTCGCTACCACCAATCACTACTTCATTGAAGGCTCAGAAGTTGGCGAAGAGTTCTCCATTTTCATCCATTTCCCCAAGAGCTTCTCTACCCATGATGAGTTCCCTTCCGGTGTTGTCTGGCCTCAGTTTGGCGTTCATGTCTCCCATTAGTATTTTAATGTCACCAGCTGGAGATTGTCCATTGCTGCCTGCAGTTGTCTGTAGAATTCTTCTTTCTTTTCGAGGTCTGCGTTGTTTATGGGTGCAAAGCACTGTATAACTGTCACTTTCCTTCCTTTTGAGTTGAATCTCGCCGTCATTATCCTGGACGAGATCGCCTCCCTTTGCATCAGCGCCTTCGTTTCCGTTAGTGACATTATGATAGTCACAAACTCAGTTTGCATGTGGTTATCTTCTGGGTGAATGTAGTAGGTCATCGACTCTTCCGCTGACAGTTTGGCGAGTCCACTTCCATTCCGTCTGCATTCGCATATTCCCAGTACTTGAATTTCATATCTTTCAATCTCGTTTACAGTCTGGGCAGGTTTGCCAGTCTCGTACATAGTGCGGACGTCCCATGCCCTTGCATAGACTTTTTCTTTTGTCGCAAGGAGACTCATCGTGCTAAAGTTTCTGTAGCAAATTTGTTTGCAAGGTGGGGTTGCTAGCTTCACGCCTGAGGAGTTTATTGCTTGTATATTTAGTTTACAGAAGAGAGACTTTATGGGTTTCTACCCTTAGAACCAGGAAAACAAGAAATAAAGTTATAGGGACATCACCAGTAAAAAGAAAAAATTTACAATAGAAAGGGCAGTGAAAACAGTAATAAAAAACCCTAGCATTAGCCTCACTGTCAAATATAATTAGCAAAAATGATAACAAACCATAGGCTGACTTGGGTCAAATTTGGTATGTAAGTCGAACAATATATGCAATTAAAGATATTAGTTGGTGTTAAACAGTCACAAGATGCCAAACAGATGGTTTTAGGTATTGTCAACCAAAAAGATTATATGCACGGGTTAAGTTTCCGAAATTCAAATAATTATAATAATTTCCTCGAATTCCTGGCAAGAAACGTGACCCTAAATAATAATACAGGATGTAAATATTTGCTGGCTTATACTAATATATTATTATTCATGTTGCTTCCGCCTTTGTAAGTATTATCCCATTACATTGTCTCATATTTTTCCTCTGCAAGTGAATAATGTGCATGTACCACATTTATATATTAATCACTGTAACGATGACGCCCGTAAGCTGGTGCCCCCCATGTACACAAACTGAGAATATATTTTTATAGAATCGCATGGGCTGCGAATGGGTGGTCTCATAACGTAAGGGGAGTGGTGTCCATGAAATACCACATAAAATACATTGAGGATACCCACATACTCCCTTAGGTCCAGGTGATAGTGAGAACTTCGAGGGTCAGAGTAAAGCTTGATGGGCCATTGATGAGGAAGCCACATTCAATAGCGATTTTCATAAATCAATTTGTAGGGTCTCTACAACACAGTATGCTACGGTCACTCAGAAGCCATTTGGGAACACAAATTTCAGAAGAATGAGACCAGTGACCATGCAAGAACTGTATATTTTTATGATTTGTAAGACTTTCTTTGACTCCTCAGTGATGAATGCCTTTCCCCACGCTCAACTGGGTTTCCTTCGTTCACTTACCCATTACTGTCAATGCGAAATGCGCTCGAAACCTTACGAGGTTTTTGCAACAGCACAAGCTGTCGGTCGGTTATCTGGATAATTACATTGACAGAAAGTCAGTCTTTAAGAGCTCATTTAGTTTTCTTACAGTAAAACTAAGTATTATGGTCAGTCAGGCAAACTGCTGCACGAACTTACGAGGTTGGATACAGTGTTGATTTAGGAGTTAGTTGACCACCATATCAGAAAATACTGACAAAAGCAGTAAGGTTCCAGAAGATGGTGCTCCTGTGTAACAAGTAGACTATCAGTATGGAATGATGACACAATCCTGGGGTAAGAAGACTTTCGCCCGTGTTGTCTTTCTTTGCCTTGTGATGGCTTTGCACTATGTTCAGCACGACTTTCTTCCACACGAGATATGCCAGAGTGGAATTGAAGGTTTATTTTTTCCTGTGGTTTGCTGACTATATCTGTCGGAGAGTATCTACTTCATTATCAGTCGAGTCCGAGTATATCTGGGCGGCTCGGTCTCCAGCTTCCCTAATATTTGTATTCTGGAGGCCTTATGTCTCTGAAACTCATCATTAACATCCAATATGATTTGAGTTGCCTTCTGTGTTGTTGATTTAAGATATGAAAGTCTCAGGGCCGGGAAATTCTGGGAGACTGTAGGTGGGTCAAGGGAATTTATTCCAGCCCCGAAGAGTGCAGAATCGTCTAACTACACCTGTAGAGTGCAGCGAAAAAGCGCGACATTTATATTATCTTGACAAAAATCTGCATGTGAAGTTAAATCACTATATTGATATCGCCATGTTATATGCTGTTATACCTGACACAAAGGTGGCTAGGCTTCTTTACTCCAGGGCGATTACTGAAGCTCTGCAAAGCCTACGTGGGTCCACATATTGAGATTCAGAATATTAATGCCCTCCTGCTGTTTGCAAGAAACTCTGACCACGCACAAACCTTTCAATGAATGACGGCGAAGGATATGGTTCTTTAATCAGGGATCTCACAATTCAGATCTCTTCATATACAGATACTGCTGACTTGGGAGAGAGCTAACTACCACTCACAAGGTCACAGATTACTAGAACTACCGATATCCTAAACGTCAGGTAATCACGACTCTCCTGTCAGAGTTTACGAATGCAAAGTTAGCACAAGGTAGTTGAGTGGATTTCACTTATTTTTAACTAAAGTCTGCAGCTAGTGAAATGCTTTAATAGCAGTGATGACTACTAGGGCATCAGCAAAAGCTTCCGAAGGCTGTAGAGTTAATTCGGATTTTATGCAGTCCTCTGTTAGCCCCACCAAAACGAGATGTAACCCACCACTACTGCGGAGTATAATTGAGCTTTCGAATAAAACCGACTGTTTGACTCCACTGACACCCACACAATCTTCTTTGTCCCACTTTTTCGCTCAGTTCGCTCTTTCACTCATTTATTCTTATTTAAGCTACAAATAGAATTTTATCAATGATAAATGTGTTATTAGTGAGACACCATCAGTGCCTCAATTTCTTACCACAACGGGTCACGAGGCGGTTTAAGAAATAACTGTAGTAAAAGCGACGAAACGGTTTTTATATGCTACAAACACTGACTTAAATAGAGACTGAAATCACTAACAACCACTGGCTTCATACTTTTACAATTCCTAGTGGGAACATATCCACGTAGAAACCATCTAAACATCAATGAAAATTATATTATCATCAATAGGGGGTGAAAAACATCAAATTGGCTTATACTTCTCCTCTGAAAAAACATTGGATAATATAATGCTGCAGAATGCAAGTTACACCCTGTGCAATGAAAGCTTGTCCTGCACAACGTCGGAACGCGACTTAGGTCTAGTTCTAACGGAAAAAATGGACACAAGCGTAAATTACACAGGGGATGTAGCGAGGGTATATGCTGTCATACACTTTACGCATAGACAGTTAGGTGCACTCACTCCTGAGCTCTTTCTGAGGTTGTAAAAAACATACGTCAGGTCACACCTTGAAGTGAATATTATTATTGCACCCCCAATGCTGAGGAGAGACGCCAACCTCTTGGAAAGAGTCCAAAGAAGGGCAACAAAAGGAGTGGTTGGTCTCCGAAATAAACCATATGATGAAAGGCTGAAGAAATCAGGCCTGTCCACACTTAGCTACCATCGGCTTAGTGGGGATTTGATTACTGCCTACAAAATAACAAATGACCAGAATCACCCAAACAAAGGTGTTCTACCATTGAGTAGGTATAGGCTCCCACGTGGAAATCCCAGAAGGATAGCTCACCAGAGGGCAAGGACCCGGGTGTGCTCCCACTTTTTTCACTGCGGGTTTGCTGTCCCTGGAATTCCTTACCGGCAGATGTAGCTATGGCACCGTCTGTGGACGCCTTTAAGCGAAGGCTGGACAACCATGCAGCGACGCAAGAACTGCATCCAAATGGCCTATGCCCTTAAAATCACACACACCATTCAAGGGTAGACAATTAAACTCGTCGTTTTAATTCTTTACATTCTCTCCCGTCGTACTCCCCTGACAACTTATTAATATTATAATTATTATTACTATTGTTGTTATTACTGATATATATATATATATATATATATTATTCTTCTGACTTAATGAGCTGACTGTTGTTACGCTTTCCTATTTCCGTCTCTGTCTCTTAGTCTGAATAATTTCACTAATTATATCTATTATTATTACTATCTCTTTTCTCTCGTCGACGATACCACAGGACTAACTGGCGAAAAGTTCAACTCCAATCACAGTAGTAACAGTCTTAACATACCTCATACTACAAACCACATATGATTAATCCCAGCACTACTCCCTTTGGAGTCAATCAAAACTACGACAGTCGAGTGGCGGGACAAGCTACTCAGAAGTTTGCCGAAGATCAGGAACCTATACCTTACAATCAAGAAGCGAGCACAAAGAAATCAAATTGGTTTATACTAGCTTGGAAGAACGATATTGGATATTGGATTTTAGCGGTAAATTTAGTGTCTGCGTTCGGCGGGCATTTCATTGATAATGTATAAAGCCGAATTTATATGATATGTCAGCAGGGCCATTAAAATCGCAACACTGGCTTCACCATAATTCCCAGCTAGCTCCTGATGCTGGTGTCACATACGAACTTCGTTATGTTGGCTCGATTCCAGTACTAACATCAATAAAATCTGTTGATCTAAATACCAGAACCCGGATTTGTCGGTACATCGTTATTTACAGATATAATATGACAGTCCGTTTTTTCGTGCTTAGCAGTGGGTTCTAGTCTTATTTCATGGTATCACTGTTTTTGTGTCCATTGTGTGCATTCGCACTTTTTGGAACATCACGGCATATTCTGTGAATATATTATAACATGCACATATATTTGGACATTTATAGGAATCGAATGCATAAAATTTCCTATTTACCTGAGTGGTGTCGGAAAATAAACGAAAAAAATTAGAAGCTCACGCGATTGAGTGTAAAATGACTGCATAAAATTTCATTTAAATCTACAGATATTTTATTGGAGATTTTTCACACTTACTGCATATATAATATTAAATGGAGATGGACACTCATGCGAAACGGTGCTGGTCACATGGTAGTTTTGAGGAACCATCTTGTTGTTTGCTCTGATATGAAATCATTATACGAACTTATCGTTAGTGAGGAGTAAATTCGTATTTTCTTTGGTAGTTATAGAACGGCAATTAATTGTAATAGCTGTATGTATCATGGAGCCACCGATGTGAACATTTACGGAGACCACATGATGTTCCACCCAGTGGTGTTATTTGTTCTTCCTAGGGAAATACAATTCTTTAACAAAAGAAGTTTCACTAACTCATTTGTATCAGTTGAAGTCGAAATCCTTGAAGTTTTTAGTCGTTTTAGAACAACTTGTCAAAAATATTCCTCGTTGAAATAATATGCTGGACACTTTGATTGTGCTGTCTTTATAAATAGGCAATTGACAGGACTCCAAAAATTCCAAAAAATGATTACGGATTAACATAGCCTTCTATCCTTATAATCTGAGTCTGAATCTGGAGTTCGAAAGCCTCTACACCTGTATCAGCATGAGAGACCGAATAGTATCATCAGTCCTCCTACAAGTGTAATTTACAGCCCCTTAAAGGTCAAGTGATTTCTAATCAAATAACAATTGTTTTTTCAAATGACAGATTAAATTATATCACTACCATTCATATAGTCCCAAAATCTAGGAAAACTGAATCATTTTGGTAGATCTTCAGTTTACTATTAGATACTAAACGATTAGAATTGAAGGACTAAAAGTCGAATGAAGAGGTTAAGCGCAGAAATACTAAAGGAGTGTAGTAAGGTATTTAAACGACTGCGCGTTTATAATGGTCGACAAGTGGGTTTCTGTTGGATAATTGGTCGTCCCGAAATCAGCGGTTTTGAGGTCCCTACTGAGTTGGTGTCTATCTGGTGTCTCACGTGAAGATTGGTTTAGTTTAAAAATTTGTCTTAACAGTTTCTATCAGATTTCCAGACTAAGAAACAGTAGATCTGACAACTTATCCTAGGTGCTTCAACAGACCTAATCTGGAAAAAAGTTTCCATACACAGTGTTATTAGTTAAATATAAACGAAATTGTTTCCACACATTAAAAGATATAAATCTATAAGAAGACGATTCGATAAGCGTTCACAAAACTAAGGAAACATTACCGGTACAAATGTACAGTATCTGTGGTAAGGTCGAAATAAGTATGTAATAGGTGGGTGTTGCCTAGCCCTTTATATTTTATCTGGTGGTTGAACTCAGCAACCTAACTTTTACTCTGTACATGAAGTTGGGTCTGGAAAAATATTAAGTTGTTGAATCGAGTTTTCCCTCCTCAAGACTTAATGGACCAGTAAACTGTACATAAGGCTGATTACTAACCGCTAACTGACTAGTCTTAGAGCAATGAATTATCGGTTTTAATGATATGATAAAAATATTTCGATACCATAAATGTTGATAATATTGGAAATGTTATCGTGCTTAAGAATAAAATCTAAACAATTGATGTACTCTTATTTTCACATCAAACAGGAAAAAAATGTTTGTAGGATAGTAGTGATGATTCGTAAAAAGTTTTTGTAGCCTAATTTCCATTGCATTTTGTTTTGTTTCTTTTACAGAGCATCAATTCGTCGTGTATGCGAAGATGTGGGTTTAAAACTGCCAAATAGTCGACTTGTCGATAAGTCAATACGACATTTTATTGGACCATCTACTGATATGACATGGGCCATGGCAAATGTGTACCTAACAATCACATCTCAAACTCTTACTGTTGAGACACTTGAAAACGGTGTGGTATGTGACCTATCTACGGCACATTATATAATAAATATTATGTATAATATTCTGAAATTGTTTCTTAAACTCTCACAAAACTATTGAAGGCAAAACGAAATAAAACAATTACGATTAGAACGAAAAGGTAACTAGTTTGTGGTAATAACTGAACCAATTACCTCTCGTTCACCAGTCGAATGCGGTAATGAATACTTTGTGAAACTGAACTAGTGATTAGCTATAAATTTTGTTTCTGTTACAGAAATGTTCATTCATGTTATGTAATGTGTAAATGTATGGTCCTCATTATCGTAATTTATTTAGTTATTCTAAACATGAGCAGGAAAAACTATAAGGATATAAGTTGAAGTTAGTGTTAAATATTGATTAGACACAGTCCAATGGAGTAGTTAATGAAGACTTCATACTTTTCATAGCTTTTCAAGACTAGCTGGTTAAAAAAGCTGCAGCATGGTTCCTATCGGTTTTGGTCTTGAACTGTATATAATACTGTCAAAAACCACTAAGTCACATGACTTTTCGAAGCTTGTCTAGAGATCCATGATGTGTCGGATTGTGGTAGCACAACTATCCAAAAATGATGGCACTTATCTTATGAAGATATTCATAAAGTTAATAAAAATACCACATGACCTAACCACCACTTATAAGTTACGTGGAAGTGACTTTGAAAATTTTGCAAACATCGAATTGATCTGACACAATTTTTCAGATACCCTCCTCTAAGAGATGCCTAATTTCATGGATGTAGTGTACAACTTACCGCACTGTAGCGTTGTGCGCTACCTTAGTGTTACTTCACCTCTACATATAATTGATTTCTCTTAAAAATAATGCTTGACACTAAAAAAATTTAAATCAGTAATCCCCAATCAAACAAAACAAAGATTTTGGGGAAGGAAATTTACTTTGTGTCGATTTTATTTTCGTAGATATACAATCCTATGCGCACATGAATGAGAACAGAGTCTTCATGATTTGTGTGCGGACTAAAATACTGTCTAGGTACCCAGACTGAAGCACGGGATCGCTTGCACAATCCTTGACTTGAAGTCTGTTCAACGATACACCACAGCAACATCAGGAGCTGTGTCCCCATAGTTGTCAACGACAGAAATAAGTTCATGCGCCATTCTTTCTTTTCGGATTCTGAAGCCCATGTACACTATGGGTTTTGAATCAGGATCTTCTAGGTGGACTGGCCAAATATTTGCATGGCCCTTTCACTTTTGCCGTATGAAGGCATAATGTGAATAGGATATATCTGGTATAGACTGTGAACACATGGTCACGTGGTACCTTTGCGAGGGGAAGACGGAAGTCCACTTACCCTCTGTCGTGTCACGTTATATACCGAGGTAAGAGAGGCATGGAGATATTGAAGTGCGATAATATTGGTTTAGATGATTACGGATCACGAATTGATTATAATTATGAATCAATATAAAGTACAGTTTTTGAATTAGGTATTTGATGATACAGCTAATTTTTTGTCACAAGATTAAATGCATACGAAATTCAGGATTTCCATTGACTGTCAGATTTCAACTTATATACACAATTCTGTCTGTCTGTTTTCGACATAGAACTTTGCACAAATGTGCGGAAGTTCAAGTCGCCACATTCCGTGTAGCACGCGAAGCAAGAGAAGAAAGTACAAGAAAAGCATAATAGAAACAGTGAGCAGAGGTGTGAGACAAAGGAGTAATAAAGAAATACAAAACAGTTTCATTGAAGATCATAAGTCACAGGGAGTGGATGCATCTGCGCCACTGAGAACGATTTTGAGCCATGTCACCAATTGTTTCCAACCATAGATTTTTACCGTCCCGAGGACCCCAGCCTGGAAGTCTACACCTTCCTACGTGGCTTAGACCAACTGTTGTGGATTTCATTGACTGATGCCAAGTTTTTGTTTGACCGCCGCTAGCTTTTTTCCAGCCTGACCCTATATCCGCTAACATTGCTCGTCGAGGGAGGCGATGGCTTGGCATACGTAACACATGTCCTAACCATCTCAGTCTTTGTAGCTTCACGACTTCGTCGATTGATTTCCCCTGTTTACCTAGAACTCTACGCCTAACCTCCATGTTGCTCACCTTATTATGCCACTTTACACGGGAAATAGAACGCAGGCACCTATGATCAAAGACAGCTAGTCTTTTCATGTCTTCCACTCTCAGTGGCCAGGTCTCACAACCATAAAGGAGGACGGAGCGGACTGATGAGCAGTACACCCGCCCTTTGGTCGATAGTCGAACATCTCGTCTACGCCAGAGTCGGCGTAAACTAACAAATGCGAAACGAGCCCCTTGTATTCGTGCTGAGATTTCGTCAGAGATCAGCCCGTTGGGGCTGATGGTACTTCCCAAATAAGTGAAGCGGTCAACGTGCTCTACCACTTCACTTCCTATTTTTAAACTAGGCGTCGATGTAGTCCAGTCCTGTAACATCATCTTGCATTTGGCGGGAGCGAATCGCATGCCAAACATTCGTAGATTGCGGCTCAAGGTGTTTAGAAGACTCTGCATTTCGTCAGCGTCTTCGCCTAGAAGGACTATATCGTCTGCATATTCCAAGTCAACGAGATTATTTCCCGGTAGCAAGTCAATCCCTGAGTCGCTGAAGTCACCTAGGGTTAAGTCCATTAACACATCTATGATGAAGTTGAATAGAAAAGGAGATAATGGGCATCCTTGACGGACACCACTGGTCGTCATCAGTTCAGATGACAGCTCGCCGTAAGCCCTCACCTGGCTGTATGAGTACGAGTAGAGTGCCTTAATCAGTGCAATATATTTTCTTGGAATTCCCTTTACAGCCAAGCATCTCCAGAGAACTTCCCGATCGACAGAGTCGAATGCTGCCTTTAGGTCAAGAAATATAATGACTGTTGGACGCCGGTAGGAATGCCTATGTTCTAGAATCTGTCGGAGGGTGAAGATATGATCAATACACCCTCTTCCTGGTCTAAAGCCTGCCTGGCTCTCTCGTGTTTGTGCTTCCCGAGCACCACTCAGTCTACGCATGATTATTGAGCCTAAGACTTTAGATACTATATTAGTCAAGCTAATCCCTCTGTGATTATCACAGGAAGACTTGTCTCCCTTCTTGTATATGGGGATAATCAGTGACTTACACCAACCCGATGGGACTTCTTCTGATTCCCAGACGCTGCCTAGTACCTCAGTTAATCCGGACAGTAAGCTGTCTCCACCGTACTTAAATACCTCTGGAGTCATTCCATCAGGTCCCGCTGCTTTGCCTAGTTTCAGATTGGTGACAGCTTTAGTAACCTCAGTTAGTGACGGAGGACCTGTGTCTATATCCCATTCAGGGAGGTGTTGGATGCTCGGAAGGTTGAGCGTGGCTGTGGGCAAATTAAACTGCTCCTCATAATGCTCTTTCCAACGATCCAGTCGTCTATCCTGTGAGCTAATTATAGTGCCATTTTTTTCCGAGATTGTCTCACTGATGATTTGTCTTCTCCCACCCGTTTCCCTGATGAGTCCAAAGAGTTGCCTGGTGTTGCCTATCCTCGAAGCTTTCTCCATCTCTTTGGCTTTTGTCGCCCACCACTGTTCACGGTCCTTGCGGAGACTTTTCGTAAGTTTCCTCTTGTGCAGCTTTCGCTCCTCATTGAATTCGGAGCTCGCCGGAATAAGTCTTCTAGCATCTATCAGTTCGGATGAGGCGGTGGAGATCCAGTGGTTTTTACTCACCTTTGGGTTTACCTTATTCACAGCTTTTACAGCTGTATCTATGGCTGCCTGGATATTTTTCCAAGCTTCTTCAGGGTGAGCACAGCTGTCGAACACAGATATGTGTTTAGCTAGTTCTTCCTGAAATACGGATTTAGTTTCCTGATCGAGCTGGGGACGTGATGGTTTTACCGCCAGCTGTTTCCTACGTCCGTTCAGTCGTAAGCACACCCGAGCGCGGACCAGTGCATGGTCGGTATCTACGCACGTGTTCCAGAAGGAGCGACAATCTCCTACCGACCCACGCCAACGATAGCTTATTGCTATGTGGTCTATTTGTGTCCAGCGTTGGTTTGATGAAGGGGGTCTCCAAGTCAAACAGTGTCTCTCCTTGTGTTTAAAGTTAGTGCTTACAAGAAACAAATGATTATCAGAGCAGAACTGTAGGAGACGGTCACCGTTGTCGGTTCGCTGGCACGGAGCTCCATAGGTGCCACCGACATCCTTCTCAGATTGACACAATTTCCCTACTTGAGCGTTAAAGTCACCAGCTAGAACGACTATGTCTGAGCGTTTAGCCTTTCCACCAAACTAGACAGCTTTTGGTAGAACTCATCCTTCGTTTCATCTGAACTGCAGTCAGTGGGGGCGTAGGCGGAGATTACGAAAAGGCATCGGCGAGTAGTGCAGTCCTTCCTCCTTCTTACTGATCCGTTCAGGCGGACAGCACACATTCGGCTATCTACCGGGATCCAGTCAAGCAATGTCTTTTCTGCCCTAGTACTCAAAGCTATCCCTACGCCAGCTAATCCTCGTGAACTAGCTGTGGCATCTCCTGACACCCTCAGGGTGAATTTTGCAGATTCAACCTGTTGGCCAGGTGGGGTTAGGTGAATAACCACACTTGGGTCTTGTATGCGTGTTTCTGAAACACAGCATACATCAATGGCTCGTGATGCCAGGGTCTTGGCTAGTGATGCTTGTTGTCCTATTTGGCAAAGTGTCCTAACATTAAGAGCTCCTATATGAAATTGGTGGCGCGGCTTTAAGAGGCTGTCGGTGGTGGTTTTTTGGCTTCCATCGTTTTTAGTGGACGCAGAGTGGAGAGGAAGTGGAGAGCTATCAAGTCGAGGAGTTGCATCAGTGGAAGGAAGGCAAGATGATAGAGATGAAGATGAAGACAAAGATGAGTGAGTAATAGAGAGGTTTCGTGTGCATTTCGGATTGTGAGGGCGATTGTTACTTCCCGGCTGCCCACACCGTGGAAGTTGGTTGCGTGACCGCAGAGCCCAGGGGACAACTGCTTGAGGCCGGTCACACGCGGCCTGTTTTTGTTCGTTCTTTTTTGTTTGGTGTGTCTCAGTAGCAGATTTATCACTCCCGCCCTGTGACACGGCAGCAGGAAGCGCGGTCGTTGTTAATCCGGGCCACGGCCGATCCGGCATGAAATTTTGTAATTTTGTATTGGACATGATGTTGGATTGGGTAGCTGCTTTTTGTTTAACCGCTATCCAAACAACCTGCCTGGCATGGTAGAACCTCAAGAGACATAAGTCTCAGCCAGTATAGCTTGATTAGGTCATTGCGGTGTTCAAGCCCGACCACCACGTCAAGGTAGCAGCTTTCGGTCGGGGACAATGAACATACTTATTTTGTCTATTATAATCTATAAGTAAATATGATCGCATAGCTATGAAAATAAAATCGCCATAAAGAGATCGTTTTTTCGTATCTTTAGTATTCATTCGATATCATAGTAAAAATGTGATTTATTTTACGTATTATTCAGGTTAGTAGGTTGTATTGCATACATTTATCGTCAACTTCTTCCATGTTTATGTAACTTGTATCGTACAGATAGATAGGACAATTCATCAAATTTAATTTATAAAGCATTTTTGTATACAATTGGTGGATGGTGGCTAGCAGTGGAATCCAGGATGCGCATTTCGTCCTAATTGGGACTCGTCAGCTGGATGTACCTGCATTTTTCAGTGAGTGATGATGTTCCCACCGAGGCTCGAACCCAGTGCCCATAGTTCCAAACGCCAAAGCGTTATCCACTAGACCACTTGGGCCACGAGAGCCACCTCTTGTGCAACGGGTCATATTAATTATTGAATTGAATTTTTGATTTTCATTAGGGATTGTAACCTGAGACCGAACACTTCGGTCCAATCAATCGACGGGAAAATCAAGAATTCAATTCAATAATATGAAGCATTTTGTTTGTAATTTCTTGATGAACTATTGAAGTAACAATAACCGATGTTAGTTAACCGGAATAATTTTTTCATGGACGAGGCTAACAGTTACTCATGTTGTATTCAGGATTGATGATATTTGCTAGTTGCTTAGGCACGAGTAGGTGGAGTTAAAACTCAGACCCGACACTCATTTGCTGAAAGCTGAGTGCTTAGACTAATGAGTCATTTCTACACAACAATCATGGATACTGTTAATTTCTATAAATGTTTTTGTTAAAAGTAATCTTAGATAAAAGTTCAAGTAAAACTGTAGATGGTAAGGTGTAGTGAATGTTAAAGAAAGAAGCGATTTTTTTTTGCTTACATTGTAAATAAAGCTATTTCTTCACATTACATTATTTCTTTTTGTGCTGAGTGTTTTTCAAATATTCCATACTTAATCTGTACAAATTTTGCAGTTTTTTTATTCAAAATTTTATTCTCCACTTTTTTTTAAATGATTGTTATTTATCTTTTTTTTACGGTTAGTTGTTGTTCCAGCACAATCTTTTCCTGGTGTCTTTCGCTTCTGCTGGTGATGCAGATACTTTAGATTTCGTTTGTTATGTGGCTAAAACAGACCAAAATACTCGTATGTGCTACGTTTTTGAGTGTCCTGGTGGCCTTGCTCAAGACGTGATAATCACAATTGGACAAGCATTCCAGTTAGGATATCAGGTAAAAAAAACGTACATATAATTGTATATACATGAATTATTGCTTTCTTTCATAGTTAGGTAGTAAATATAGTACTTTATCATCTAGTCTGCTTCATTGTTTTAGTGTGTTATGCAATAACTTTCTTCAATTACATGAAACGAGATATTACCTGATTATTGATATCATAAGGATGGGTTGTTTAAGCATTATCTTTATGCCAAATGTGGGTAGTGTATTCTTATGAGTTCAAATATAAGCCAAACTAGCTACCCATTGTTTATGTTAGATTTTAACCTCTCTTCAAATAATATCACTCTAAGTTTAACATCATATTTAAAACGCTATTATGATGCATGTTATTCGTTATCTATTTATGACTCCTAATGACTATAAAAGTCGCTAAATTAGATGATATTAGATAGTTGGAGGCAATCGGCAGGAAGCCTTGGACCTAGGTTTCGTGCTAGTTGGCACTCATCAACAAGGCGTATTGCCTCCAACTATCTAATATCGTCAAATCAATGTGCACCGCGACGGTGAGTTACCTAGAATGGCGACCACATTGCAAACCTGACTGATATAATTCAGTCTGCACAAAAGAAAGGACTAGACACGTCACACTTTTTCTTTTGTCGAAAGGAGATTCATCGTGCTGAAGTTTCTGTAGCAACTTTGTTTACACGGTGGGGTTGCTAGCTTCACGCCTGAGAAGGGGGGTTGTTACATTAAAATATAGTTTACAGAGAAGCGACCTAGTGGGTTGCTCCCCTTAAAACCAGGAAAACAAGGAATAAAACAATCAGAACAACATCAGCAAAAGGAAAATAATACACAACAGGAAGAGCAACAAGCAACAACAGCAATAAAAAAACCTTAGCAGTTGTATCACAGTCAGATACAGTTAACAAAAATGATATCAAAATCATAGACTCACTGACTTGAGCCAACTTGAACATGTAAATCCATCAATATATACAATTATAGATATTAGTTAGTCACACTAGTTACTAGTGTTCAATCAAAATCGCTAAATTTGGTTGATGAACAGTATCTGTTAAGACTGGAAAACATTTTTGCCAGATATATAAATATATGTACAGTAAAAGAATTTTTAGAAAACAAAACATTCGAAAACATGAGGCAATCGTGCGCGTCATAACTTTAATGCCACCTTCACTTGGAATTATGGGTGGTTACGTGCAAATACTTTAACTACCAGTAAATTGAAATATATTCAAGTTTAGTTTGGAATCATTCATCAATCGGAGTGTTGAAGATTCACGCAGTATAATCTAGAAGAAGAGTTTGCCATGTAATGAGATCAAAAGTCGATAACATTGGCACAGATTACATTCGTTTCGATGTATATCATATTGTCGTATTTGTTTATTTGTGTTTTTTCTTTCATCTTTTGTTCTATGATACTACATGGTTTTCAGTTGTGTTTCTTCGTCACCTTATTTCCCTTTTCTGAATTTGTACTTGATATGTATATGTATAGATAGATCGTTGTGTATTAGCGGTAGGTGTCACATTAGTGATGCTGGTATGTTTGCTTACATACAACAACGATTAAACTATCGATACTTCGATAGTATAGCATATGGAAGCATTAATTGTTCAGTGTTTCTTGAGCTTTCTTGACTATCCTAATTGTCTTAGGTATTTGTGACAAAGCTATCTCTTAATGCACTTATTTACATGATAACATCTAAAGCTATTAAAATACTGATGAAGAGTCCCAAACTAGGACGAAACAGCTGTCCACTACTCCCACGTTTTCCAGTGGCTCTCTAACTGATATCAACTCATGATGAAATCCTCCATGCAATCAAACAAAAATCCCTACAAAACCAATACTTGAATATTAAAATACAGTTGGTAAATATTTATACCTTCACAGCTTACTTATGATAAGTGTAAAATGGAATCTAATAACAGATTAGTTCTTAGATAGTTTGTGTTGTATCTAAGAAAGATAACCCTTGTAGAACCCTGATAGTCTAGAAAGGCAAGTGATTACTTAGATTTGATTACCCTGTAGGTTGGCTGCTTAAGAAAGTCCTGACTGACTGATTTCACCATAGAACTTTGCATAGAACTGCAGGAGTTCGAGTCGCCAAAGCGGGAGAAAAGACTAAAAGGAAATGTAAAATAGAGAAACAGAGAAATGAGGTGAAAGAATAGTAATATCGAAGAACAGTATAGTTTTATCGGATATTTTAAGTTACAAGAAGTGGATGCATCTGCACCATTCAGAAGCGATTTGGAGCCATATCACCAACTGTCTTCAACCATCGTTATTGACCGTCCCGAGAACCCCAACCAGGAGGCTTGTCTACACCTTCCTAAGTGTCTTAAACTAACTGTTGTTGTGGATTTCATTGACTGATGAAACCATGTTTTCGTTTGACCACCATTTACTCTTTTCTAACGTGATTAGTCGTATGTCAGCTAATATTGTCCGTTGAGGAAGGCGATCGAAGGCGTAACACATGCCCTAACTATCTCAGTCGATGCAGCTGTTTCAGAACCTCTTCGATTGACTTACCCTACTTACCTAGCACTCGGCCGAAACCTAACATCAATATTGTTCACCCTATTATACCACTTCACACGGGAGATAAAACGCAGACAGACCTATGATCAAAGACAGCTAATGTTTTCATGTCTTCCACTCTGAATGGCCAGGTCTCACAGCCATAAAGGAGGACGGGGCGTACTGCTGAGCAGTACACACGCCCTTTTGTCGACAGCCAGCCGGATATCACGTCTATGCCAGAGACGGCGTAAATTGGCATATGCAAAATTAGCCTTCTGTCCTAGTGATGCTTAAAACTTTTATTTTATTCCTTTGCGTTTCGAGTGGAATAGAGGCCTTCAAGCTTGAGCTTTAAAGTTTCAGTAGCACTGGTGTTTCTTTCCACGGGGTAGTATTGCTAGCCTCATGCCCAACTTTCTCTTTACCGGCTAAGCAAGGTTTAGGAGTGTATCACCTGTGAATCCGAACTCTGGACCACGTGCGTCGTTGGTTAGTGTTCTACCACTGAAACACAAACTCATTACTGTTGTAGTATGAAAGCATATTTGAGTGATGTACAGTATCCGGTCGCTAGGTCAAGTACTAAGTGTCAATTTTTTTTATCTTCAGACTTTGTTGAAATTTCTCGTGCAATGAACATGCATCAGATATTATTTTTTTCGTTAATAGTGAAATAAAGTTAGCGATTTCAGTTATGCATTTTTGAAATTTCAGTGACTAGACAATGCCTGTAAAGTTCATTGCAAGTTTCAGTCAATACACCTCACTGTGCTCCGATTCTCGTTAATTATAATACTAAATGAATATTTAATACTCTGCTATTGTTATTGATTTTTCTACTTATTTTCTTAAAACTAGGATTTCAAGAATTCCAAACCACAGAATACTAGAAATGAGACATTTTCATCAACAAAAATAACTTCTTCCGAATCATTATTTCCTAATCATCCCCTCCTCATCATCAACATCACCAACATGTTCAGTCAAAAGTGACAACGTCTGAAAATTCCAGTGATCATCATTTTTCTCCTGCAAACAGTCCGAATAAATCGATTTTCTCCAAAACTACACATCAAGGCAATTCAAGTGTTAGTTTATTCTTTCAGTATTTTAGTTCATCATTGGATGTATTTGTGACTTTACATTTTTTTTCACCAAACCTGTAATCTTCTTTGTGTGTTTGATATTTAGTTTGTGAAATAACTTTTCCAAGGCCCACCAGCGAAACTTAATTTTCAGATGTTGGCTTTACAGAGATCTGACTGGTTTCAAGTTAGGTTACGAAGTGACATCACTTCGACAACTGATTTGTCCTGTTTTGGGACTCTTCAGTATAGCTCACCTATGATCGCATCAGATATCAAACTCAGGCCCTTCAGATTACAAAAAGAGATGAACTCTGATAGCCTATGGATTCTAACTCCTGTCGATTCGCGATTCATAGCGCCACTGCCAGCCGGTATCATCGACGAGTATTTCTCCTCCCACTGGTCAGGACTTCTTACTAGATCTGCACACAGCTTCATTCCGCAGTTAGTAACTAGTGAGTATTAGACTGATTTTCAGGTTGTTGGTTTGAGGGGGATTTGATCGGTTTCAAGTCTGACCGCCAGTTGATATCAGTCAGAAAACCATTGGAAACTGGGGAGTACTGGACATTTTTTTTTCCTTCACGTTCCCCAGTGGAACATAGGGCTTCAAGCTAGTGGCTTGAAGTTTCTGTAGCAGTGTTCATTTTTACAGGATGGGGTTGCTAGCCCTATGCCCAACCTTTCCTCTTTACCAGAATTATTTCTGACTTAGCGAGGTAAAGGAGTTCGTCGGCCGGGGATCGAACCCCGGACCATGTGCATGATCGGCGAGCGTCCTAACCGCCAAGCCACCGTCCTAATTTTTGGGGTCTCTTCAGAAGTTCGCATCCATGATTTAACCATTCACTGAGTGTTCAACAGACCGGCCTCTTAACGTAAATGTCATGTGTTCCTACTGATGAAGTGACGAAGCACACTAGAACAAAACGCCTGGCCAATAGTCCTTGGTTGTCAATGGTTCTCTAAGTGATCTCAACTTATATTTAACTTGGAAAGAACCTAACTTGTTCTCATCAACATTTGGTTTTTTTCATTTTATCTATAAATTCAAAAGTAAGAGGGCTAGTAAGTTAACATATAAGTGGAACATAAAATCCAGATAAATTTAATTAATAATTAAAAATCGGGTGGCAGACAGACAATAATTACGGGAAACATTGTACAAAAGTACTTTTGTTCAATTTGCTGCATTCCATAGTAGCGCATAGAAATATGTAGTATATGGAAATCAAATAATTTTAAAACGATCAGTAGCAATATGAAAAATATGAACTAATTAAAATATTTACAATTTTTTAGTCGAAATATCTCTGTACCCCTGTAGGTATATATTCAACCACCGTTATCACTTATTCCAATTATTGAAAATTTAAAAACTCGTTATCAACTGCTGAGATTATTTATTTATTTAAATGCATAAAAACTTGGTACAATATGGCATCAAGAAGGATGCGCCACACAATAATAATAAGACAACATATATATATATAAAAGTAGAGAACGGACAAAGAACTTCATCTGGAAGGAAAACAGTCATGCTTAACAAGTTCAAACAGTATTCGTTAACCATCATCGGGAAGGGAAGAAAGAAGGAAACTGCAGCACGTGTTATAGCACGCGATAAGTTTCATTGATTGTTTGTTGCTTCATTCAATTCATTGTGTGAGGGCTGAGATACTACCCGGCGCCCAGACCGAAGCAGGTGGTTTTATTAAGGGACCACCCCACGAATCTTTGACTTGGAGTCTAATCCGCTGCATTCCCATGGTTGACGGTGTCCCGTATGGGTTCATACGCCATTTGATCCGATTGGATACTGGAGCCCATGTACCCCCATGGTAAGTGCTTTTAGTTTAACCGCTATCCAAACAACCTTCGTGATATGGTAGGACCTACAGGGACAGATTCCAAGTCAGTTTAGCATGTTGGGTCATTACAGTATTCAAGCCCGATCACCACGACAAGGTAGCAGTTATCGATCGGGAACTGCTGAGATAACCATAAATATCACCTGTCATTCAGTGTTGGGTTGAATATTTTGTGATTCTACTTCCCTTCGTTCATTTTATGTAAACAAAATAGACACTTCATAGTGGTTTTCCCCGCTTTAATTCTTCTTTTTTTTTCGAACATCTTTACAGGCGTCGGCTACTACTTCGTTAACGAAAAATACTGGATCACCGACTCAAAACAACAATAGCAATAATAATGATCTTACTCAATCAGTTGCTTTTGACAACTTCATGGATTTTGAGGATAATGCATGTAAGTTTGATTTTGCTGTTAACATTCAACGTCTTGTTTTATTTTTATCGTGGACTATATCACGATGGTTAAAAGCTGAAAAGATTATCATTTTACTGTGTAATCATGCACCATTTTGTATGCATAACAATACAGCCAAACTACTTGTGTAAGGGCTGATAGTACTTGTCCAAACCTGAATAAGTTAACTCTAGTGAGTTTTTTAGACTGATAAGTCCCAGTACCACAAATATTATGACTAATGCATTTTTACTTCTAAAGAACATTATGATAAAAGTGTGTCGGATTGTTAAAACTGATCATCTGCAATTTCATTAGGTGGCTTATTGGTTGTTTTTGTAGATAGTTGAGTGGTTATAAGGTAGCTTTCGTCACTGGCCGATATCAGTTTGCAAGCCATTATAACACAAGGAGAATTAAATGGCTATTGCATTTTGTTATGGAACTTGACAGTTCAAACGTACGACTTCTGTGTCATGATATATCGTGACCATTGCTCAATGGAATCGATAAGTAATTGATCATAGAATTACTTCTATAACTTCAAAGAATTTATGCCGAAGTCATCTCTACAGAAATGCGGACACTCTTTAGTGTATACAAGTAAAATGTCCTGAACTTAGATTGTAACTTACCATTCGCCTGATTTAAAATTAATTTTATTTGTAGTGTTCTACAGAATTAATCTTATCTGAGATGTGTATTCACTTATTATTATTATTGTTCCCTTGGGTTCCTAGTGGAACATAGGGCTTCAACTGCACGTCTCCACTTGCTTCTGTCTTCCTTCTGCTGTACTTTTCACCTGCGTCCATGTTAGTCCATACTGTTTCAACTCCTCTTCACACGACCTCCACCATGTTACCCTTGCACTGACATACCACTCGCCGCTTCCCTTTCGGCCTAGTTCCACTCGAGAAATGGCCTGACGCGCGCGCGATGTCACCCAGCGACCTCCTCAGCGAGCGAGTGTCCAATCCAATTCACGTTCTCCTGAATATTTCTTGGTTGGCGATTGGTTCTTGTTTTGTTTGTTCCCAGCCATAGTTTCTTGTTGGTGATTCTTTCCGACCCGGCTATCTGATCATCAGTATAGAGCGAAGACAGTTGTTGATAAAGCTTTGGTCTGCAACAGGCTGTTGGAAATATTCTTTGTGACCCGCCAAGTTTCTGATCCGTATAGAAGAACTGACTAACTTGACGTTTGTATTGAAAATCCGACGGAATTTTGTTGTTGATGCTGGCTGAGTGACGAAGATTTCCAGATTGGTTTCAGGTTGAAGGATGTGTTTCTCGTCTTCCTGATTCTCGATTTGGCATCCTCATCCGTTCCTCCTGTATTTGAAACAATGCTCCCTAGATAAGTGGATAAGGTAACCTCTTTCAAATCCTTCCCGTTGATGGTGATTGGCGCTGGATGTTGTTGTTGGTTGGTTGGTTATTTTCATAACCGCTGTCTTGTCTATGTCCACATGGAGTCCTGTCTTCGCTGGCTGCTTCTTCGACCAGTTTGCTGGTTTTCTCTTGTAAGTCTTCAATTTTGTGTGACATCAAGCATAAATCATCCACACGCGAAATCTAGGTCTTCTAGGTTCTTCAAGTCGGCCCAAGATATCCATGTCCCGTTTCTCGTTTCCTACTGTCTGACGCATAATCCAGTCCACCACAATTAGGAATATCATTGGTGATAATAAGTGTATTCAATTAAGGTTGTCAGCAATAATTTAAACTGATCAAATTTATGGTTTTGTCTTTATATAAGGTGATTGGTTCCACTAGTAAAACTTACATTATGTCTACTTTATGACCTGAAAGATGAAGCCGTAGAAAATTAAATCTTTGGGAATAGATTCCCATCTGACTGTCATGTGAGCCCATCGACCACAGACAAGACGTGAGAGTAAGGATTTTTTTGAAATCCTTAGAATGGGACATCGTCAGTTCATATTGGAAGGAACTAAGGCATACGATACTCTTTAATACGAATTTAAACTTGAGTGTAACACTAACTTCAGTATATTAAATGAACTTTACATATAAGACACTAATGCACTATAGCTGAATATTCCTGTTTTTAATAAGATCGATGAGATCGTTTTGCGTACTTTATATATTTCTAGACTGGTAAATAATAACAAACAAGTATAAGATCAAACAGGATTTTGTTTGAAAATATGATATACCAGTAATGATATACTTCGTTTTTTTTTACTTTGATTGGACACTAGGTGGTAACTGGTGTTATGTGCCTAGTTCGTTACAGGCCTATGCGGGGTGATTCGCGAGTCCGAATAGCTCGGTAATAGTGCCGCTGACTGCGATGTTGGGTCGTCTTCTACACTTCGGTTCAGATAATCATCTGTTCCTAGTCAGGACTAACTTTAGGCACAAAGAGAGACATTGCCTAACCTGGCGACCTCCGCCACCAAATCAACGTCGGACTCAAATAGACCACATAGCGATAGGCTATCGTTTGCGAGGATTAGAGGAAAACTGCGACTCCCTCTGGAACACGTGCGTGGACTCCGATTACGCCCTGGTTTACATATGTTTTTGCTTACGACTAAACGGGCATGAAAAATTGTTGGCAGAGAAGCAGTTACGTCTCCAACTAGATCGAGACACTGAATCCCTATATGAAGGAGAAATAGCGAAAGGAGCACCTGAGGTCGACAGTAGAACTCCCCCGGAGGTAGCCTGGCACAACATACATTTAGTTGTAGACGCAGCTGTAAAAGCTATTAATAACCTAAAACCTAAAGTTAATAAGAGCCATTGGATTTCTACCAACTGATTGACGCAAGCAGACTGATTCATATTATGGTGAGGAGAGAAAGCTACTCAAACGCAAACTAACAAGATGTTTTCGTAACGACCGTGAACAGTGGTGGGCGAAAAAAGTGAAAGAGATGGAAAAGGCATCGTAGATTGGTAACACCAGACAACTATTTAGACTTATCAGGGAAACAGGTGACAAAAGGCAAATAATAATAATAATTTTGCTTTATTCCAGAAACAGTACTAGTGGTACAGTGTGGAATTTTCAGCACTTATCTACAATATTGCGTCTAATTTTATCAAACATTTAGAAGGAGTATTTCAAAAAATAAATATAAAAAACAAAAAATAGCAAAAAAAAGTGCGAAAAAAATACCAAGAAGTAAAATGGAAAATAAAAACAACATAATAATATCTCAGTATTGGTTAGTGGAAGCTATGATATGTTTAGCGTGGTGAACAGTAAAACTGTAATCATGCAAGAAGTTATGAGATGTTCTTAAGAATGTCTATAGTCAAGATGATCAGTTAATTTGATTGAACTACACTAAACAATCATAAAATAAACATTTCAGGTTTTTTTTATTGTCAGCTCTAATGCGGTGTTTGTAGTGGTAGTGTGGGTAATCCTGCATAATACAAAATTTTTAAGATGGTGATAATAACGTTCACAACCAAGATTGTCAGTTTAATATTGCCGAACAAAAAAACAATCACAAAACTAATATTACATGATGGTTAATGACAGGACAATTTTGTAATAATCATAGTACTAATATAGTCGGAACCAGTAGATACGTAAAAGAGGGAATATATTTAAGTACAGAAAAGTAAGCCAATGTTAGTAATTTAGGTAGCTAAGTATGTTTAAGAAGGTATTCACAATAGAATACAAATAAGAGAGAAATAAAAGAGCCGAAATTATGTTATTAACAACAAAGCAAGTCATAGGTTTCGCGCTTAACATTGTCTCTGTCACTTAGAACACAGGCCAAATATGGTATAGTTGAGTTCCTATACTTGATTGTACGAGCATATATTAATTTATACTGATTTTTGGTTTTACCTGATGAACCAGTAAGTCAGACAATGCCCGAGAAAAATGGCACCATAATTAGCTGTTAGGATAGATGACTGGAACGTTGGAAGAAATACTTTGACGAGCAATTTGACTGGCCTACAGCCACACTCAACTTGGTGAGCATTCAACACTTCCCAGAATGGGATATAAACACTGGTCCTCTGTCCCTAACTGATGCTACAAAAGCTGCCACTAGTTTGAAACAAGTCAAAGCAGTGGGATCTGATGGAATGACTCCAGTGGTGTGTAAGGATGGTGGAGACACTTTACTGTCTGCGTTAACTAAGGTATTAGGCAGTGTCAAGGAATCAGACATAGTCCCATGGGGGTGGTGTAAGTCATTGATGATCCCGAGACGCAAGAAGGGAGAGAAATCTTCCTGTGACAATCAAAGGCGGATTAGCTTGACCAACATGGTATCTAAAGTTCCTTTTTTGCTTTGTGTGCTACATGGAGTGTGGCAACTCGAACCGTCACACATCTTTGGAAAGCTTTATGGCGAAACCACTCAGTCAACAACTGTGGGTGACCTGTGTTCGAATCTAAGAAGGGATATAAGTTCCTTAAAGATTTCACATGCGCTGACGAGTACCAACGAGCACGAAACGCAGGTCCAAGGCTTCCTGCCGATTGCTTTCAATGGTACTTATCATTACATAACAGTGTGGTTTAAATTCCATTGCATAATTTGGCAATGGTAATGTTAATTGCATGAGGACAAATAGCATGATAACCGCCCACTCGTTAAATATCACCTTTGTCCTACTAACTATGACTATCATGTGATCCTTAGTTATCATGACGTAAACACCACGAGTTAGTCTGACCGTATGTATCTGTTATTTTCATCATGGCATATACTTGTAAATATGACTCAGTAAATATTCATTTTACACGTTAGTACACGTTAGACTATGTTTTTGTCTTTATTTAAAAGATAACTGTTTTGTACCCTTTTTTCGCTGCTACACAGGTATACTATTTGTGTATCTTAAGGGCAGAGAATGCTAAGAAAGAAGTTATTTGCTTTTCAACTTTAGTGTAAACCCCAGACTCTGAGTTATCACTATTGATTGTAAGAACTAAGACATCTACAAACAAGTTGAATTCTACAGATAATTTGTCTTAAATAACTGATTATTTTTGTTATATATGACCTGTGGATCAGTGTGTAGATTTTCGAACATTACTCTACAAGGAAAAAAAATCCGGTCGTTGGGTGTAGTTATTATATAATCACTAAAAGTAGTAGCACATGACTTTATGAAATTGATGGATCAAAAACATGTAGCACAAGTGTTGTTATTTCAAAGCTACTTGAGCGTTTTGCTTTTTACAGCAAATTAGACAGTTTCAGGTAGAAGTCATCCTTTAGCCCATCCGAGCTGCAGTCTGTTGGGGCGTAAGTGGAGACTGCGAAAAAGCAACGACGGGTAACGCTGTCTCTTCTTCTTTTAACAGACCCATTCAGACGGACCGCACACATACGACTATCTACTGGGATCCAGTTAAGAAGTGACTTTTCCTCCCTAACACTCAGCGCTATCCCTACACCTGCGCGTCCTCGCGAGCTAGCTGAGGGGTCTCCCGACACCCTTAAAGTGAATTTTGCAGATTCACCTTGTTGACCTGGTGAGGTTAAATGAATGACCACAATCCGGTCTTGTATGCGTGTCTCCGAAAAACAACATGCATCTATGGCTCAAGATGCCAGAGTTCTAGCTAGTGATGCCTGTTTTCCGATTTGGCAGAGGGTCCTGACGTTAAATGCTCCTATATGAAGTTGGTGACGTGGCTTTAAAAGGCTATCTGGGGTATTTGTGTGGCTCCCACCTTTGTTTGTGGTGACAGAGTGAAGTGAAGATGACTCACTAACCTGAAGAATAGTACTAAACTGCAGTAGAGAAGCAAGATGAGGAAGGTGATGTGAGTAAGGAAACACGTCACTGCTGTTACACCCCTGTTCCCCAGCAGTATGACTTCGCCCTCTGACCCCCAGGATAGTTTTTGAAAGATTCTTACACTAAGCCGGTAACTGCTTTTAGTCTAATCGCTATCCTAACAACCTTTCTGGCATGGTAGGACCTGCAGGAACATTGGTTCCAGCTAGTGTAGCTTATTGGGTCATCGCGATGTGCAAGCCCGACCACCACGTCAAGGTAGCAGCTATCGGTCGGGACAAAGCTAACTGAATTGTGTAAGTCATCATTGCATAAATCTTTGAAAGGCAGACTCACATCCACTGCGGGCAAACTTCCAGAATTCTTGTGGAACAATGTGAACTGAAATAATTCTGCGTAAGTCTCTAACTATAGTATATTAGGTGGTGGTATATTTTGCCTGTTGCTAAATAGTGTATATACACATCACCAAGTTATGTGTTCAGCAAAACGTGACACTAGCACATTAACTCTTCCATTTATTCGAATCATTTAATTTTATACTGTTTACACGTTAGTAAGTATATCTTTTTCTTCATTTGCTTAAATTCAGGGTTGCTGGGAAATGAAATGTCATGCAGTAATCAAACAGAGAGTGGAGACTACAATAAATCGTCTTGTAGCACTTTTACCACCTCGGTTGAATCAAAAACTAATGAAGTAGTTGATCAACAGCCATCGAAACCTCTATGTAATATAACCGAAATAGACAATAAAATATCTGATACAACGAAAACATCAGTTGGATTGTCTAGTTTTGAACACTTAGAACCCATTGGAGAACCATGGTATGTTGGTAAAATGTCCAGATCACAAGCAGAGAATTTACTGCGGTATGATGGGGATTTTCTTGTACGAGCTAGCATTCAACAGCCTGGCCAGTTTGTTCTTAGTGGACTTCAAGATGGCAAATATAGACATTTATTGCTAGCGGATCCAAATGGACAGGTAATTCTTTCTATAAAAAAATGTTACTAGTGTTTTTATATTCTCAGATATTCTAAACAGTTGTCGTTTTCTAGAAAATTTCGTTATTATTATTATTATATATCCTTTAATTCCTAGGGGGCATAGGGCTTCCACTCGAGCAATGGCTTGTTTAGTGATGTCACTTGATGGTTTCCTCAGTGTATGGCCAATCCATCTCCATTTCTTCCTGCCTATTTGTTTCACAATCGGTTCCTGGTTGGTTCGCTCCCAGAGATCTTTGTTGCTGATCTTTTCTGGCCATCTGATCTTGAGTATTAAGCGAAGACAACTGTTAGTGAAGGTCTGAAGATTGATTGGAGATGCTTTTTATGACGCGCCAAGTCTCTGATCCGTATAGTAGCACTGACTGACTTCACATTGGAGTTGTGGCGACTTGAACTGCCGCACATTTGTGCAAAGTTCGATGTCGAAAACAGACAGACAGACAGACATTGGAGTTGAAAATCCGGATGTTATTTTTGATGCTGAGTGATGTTGACCTACACACAGACTTAAGGGTAATGAAAGCCTGTCTTGCTTTTCCGATTCTGGTTTTGATATCCTCGTCAGTTCCGCCTGTAGTTAAAACGATGCTTCCCAGGTAGGTGAAGGAGTTTGTTTCCTTCGGGTTCCTCCCATTTATGCTGACTGTCGTCTGTTGTTGTTGTTGCTGTTGTTGGCCAAGAAATAATAATAATAATAATAAATAAATAAATAAATAATCATAAAACAAACTTGATTCATTATGAACGCCAAAAGATGCGCCACGCAGAATCTGTGCTAATGCAAGGGGTAGGATACTTTATGGAAGTCAAAATCAAGGCAATTATTTGTCTTAAGGTCCAAACCCCAAGCTTTTGACTTGAAAACCGGCCCACATGGTTGTGGAGCAGCGGCAGGATCTATGTTTCCATAGTTGCCGATGACAAATACGAGTTCCTTTCAGATTCTGGAGTCCATGTACACTACAAACTGGGAATCATGGTCTTCTAGCTCGTCTAAGTGAACTAGTATGTCCAACAGTCCACGTTTGCATTCAGCCTTTCACTTTTGTGAGGGACATCCCTACCGTATGAAGGTAGTGGATCGATCTTACCTGGCAGAGGCTATGAATGCGTGGTCACATGAGAGCATTTCGAGAAGAAAGTCGAAATCTACCCACTCTTAGCCATACCAAGTGGTTTATCTGTCTGTTTGTTTGTTTTCCACATAGAACTTTGCACTGATGTGCGGCAGTTCAAGTCGCCACACTCCATGTATCACACAAAGCAAGAGAAGGAAGTATCACAATTACTATTTTGGAATAAAGCATATTATTATTATTAGAAGAAGAAGAAATGCATAATAAAGACAGTAAACAGAGGTGTGAGACAAAGGAATAGAAGTAACGAAGAACAATAAAGTTTCATTGGAAATCAAAAGTCATAAGGAGTGGATGCATCCGCCCCACCATTGAGAACGATTTTGAGCCATGTCACCAATTGTTTCTAGCCATTCGTTCTTACTGTCCCGAGGACCCCAACCAGGAGACCAGTTTACACCTTCCTACGTGGCTGGCCGGTTTAAACTAACTGTTGTGGATTTCATTGACTGGTGAAGCCATGTTTTGGTTTGACGGCCGCTTGCTCTTTTCCAGTCTGACCCTATGTCAGCTAACATTGCCCATCTGTCGAGGAAGGCGATGACTTAGCATACGTAACACATGTTCTAACCATCTCAGTCGATGTAATTTCACAGCCTCGTCGATTGATTTCCCCTCCTTACCTAGAACTGGACGTCTAACTTCAATATTGCTCACCTTATTATACCACTTCACACGGGAGATAGAACACAGGCACATATGATCAAAGACAGCTAGTCTTTTCATATCTTCCACTCTCAATGGCCAGGTCTCACCGATGGCCATAAAGGAGGATGGAGCGGACTGATGAGCAGTACACACGCCCTTTGATCGATAGCCAACTGGATATCACGTCTACGCCAGAGACAGCATAAACTAGTGCATATGATCAAAAGTAGTGAAACAATCATTCCCCTTATTCACTGGAGAAGTTAAACTGTTTGTGAGCATTCTTAACTAAAAGTTGATATCATTCTCATTGAAAAATGAATAGTTATTTCTTCAGGATACATGTATGCCTTCCCCTGAATGGCGTTCATGCCATCTTGATTATGTTTAAGAGAATAATCTTTGCAAAAGGAAGAAAATAATTCTTGACCAGGTTATTCAAAAGCTAATATGAATTTGTCTAATGAGAATGAAATGGATAGATGCTTCCGAGTAGCCCTGAAGCCAATAAAGTCTCTGTTCGTTATAACTTCATTTCGATTGGTCGCCCGGGTTTTACGACTAATGGTTGTGCACGAAAAAATATTTTCTTATTTCGTCTTCTAAATTAGTTGCAGTTGAGTGTGCAAATAATCGGCATTCTGCATTTTGAAACATTCACCAACCTGTTCTTAATTATGTATATTATTCGCCTACTGGTAATTGTAGTGGTTATTGTGCGTCAGTGGCACAGCGGTAGAATGCTCGCCAACCACGCAGGCGGTTCGAGGTTCGATGCCCGGCCAACACACTGCTTTACCGCGCTAAGCCAGTAATGAGACTGGTGAGGAGGGAAGATTGGGCATGTGGCTGGCTAGCAACCCCATCTCGTAAAAATAAATAACACTGCTACCAAAATTTCAAAGCTCTAGCTTGAAGCCTTATTTTTCACTGGGAACTTAAAGGAATAAAAAAAAGGTTTAATACACTTCAATGTGTAAAGCAGTCACATGAGATGACACAAATCTGATATCAGGTTCAACTTTATATTTTATAGTTTTATTTCAATTAACATATACTGATAAGCAGCAGTTTTCTGCTCATATTCATATCACTGCACCCATAAGACCTCTAGTCGTTTATTTGATATTATATTTTTACTCTCTCCTGTTCATTAACGCAACGTTCCGTGTGTTGGGAACCTGTGTAGTGTCATCTATATTACACATGTTGATTCAATGAACAAAGATTTTGTGATTAATCTCTCCTACTGACTATAATACTACCCTATGGCGTGACTGCATGTAAGTGCATGTATTTCAAGGGTCGTAGTGTGATCTGTCATTGTCGGTTTAGCCAAATTCTTATGTCTTAACATCCTAACTGACCCTATCCTACTGCGTATTCAACCTTCCAGTCGTTATATACTATCGGATAAATTATATTGTTTTGTTAAACTTAGTCGTTTTGCCCTCTAAACCAACACAGTTTGTTAATGAGTTAGTTGACAAGTTTAAATGCCACCTTAATTCCAACCATATTAAAAATCCTACGTAAAGTTTCTAATATTCCTTCACCAAATGTTAGTAACTATTGAGATTTTAAATTGCTTATTATGCATATTGCAGTCATCATTCACATAACTGCACTGTTGTTTTTCTTATGGGTCCTAATAAATTTCTAAGCGAATCTTGCCTTCTTAGTAATAATGCTTTCCTTATTTTATTTTTTGTTTAAGTTTCCTGACTCACTACTTAGACTCCTAACTCGATTGCATTCACATTTGATGGCTAAACGCACCATTACTGATTTGTGTGGTGAGTGATTCAAAGTCTGAGTACCTATCAGAATGTGATAGTTTTCAGGCTGGAAAAAAGCTAGCGGCGGTCAAACAAAAACTTGGCACCAGTCAATGAAATCCACAACAGTTGGTTTAAGCCACATAGGAAGGTGTAGACTTCCAGGCTGGGGTCCTCGGGACGGTAAAAATCTATAGTTGGAAACAATTGGTGACATGGCTCAAAATCGTTCTCAGTGGCTAGTGCAGATGCATCCACTCCTTGTGACTTATGATCTCCAATGAAACTGTCTTGTTTTTCTTTATTACTCCTTTGTCTCACACCTCTGCTCACTGTTTCTATTATGCTTTTCTTGTACTTTTTTCTCTGGCTTCGCGTGCTACACGGAGTGTGGCGACTTGAACTTCCTCACATTTGTGCAAAGTTCTATGTCGAAAACAGACAGACAGACAGATAGTTTTCAGCAGATGCTATTTATCTGAAACTCTTTCCATGTTTCTGTTTTGCTTTGTAGTCCGGCAAAGTTTGCTCGCTCTGTTCACTTTGAAAACCGGAAGTGAACTAGATTCCATCTATTGCTAAGTTTACGTGTACAAAAATTAGGGATATGCACAGGTTTCACTATAAGTAAATAAGGTCCTCTTCTTTAAAAGTGCCACTTGAGGACATAATGCTGGGAGTGCAGCTATACCTGACTTCCACAGTATTTAAATTCCAGGGAAAAATATACAAACAGACTGAGGGAACTGCCATGGGGTCACCATTATCCCCGGTTGTGGCAGATATACTCATGGATAAGTGGGAAAATATGACGATTGGAACGTTCAGTCCCACCCCACAAGTATGGTAGAGGTGTGTGGACGACACATTCAATGAAAAGTGGAGGCAATTCAATTCACTTATGAATTGGAAAGTCAGGAAGGGGAGGTTCCAATGTTAGATTGCAACGTAAAACGAAAAGAAGATGGGAAGTTAAACACTAGTGTTCACAGGAAACCCACACATTCAAACAGATATTTGGACTTTCGATCATCCCATCCTATGTCAGTAAAAATAGGTTTGGTGAAATGTTTAAGTGATAAAGCACAAAAACTAAGTAGTACCAAGGACAGGCATTTGGACTCATGTGAAAATTGGGCTCAATTCATTTTATCTAACACACACCACCCTCTTCATTCACAATTCTCCCCTTGTATCTCATCAGGCAAAACCAGAAGCCTATATAGAAAACTATATGCTCGCACTAGCAAGTACAAAAACTCAACCACACCCTACTTAGTTCGTGTTCTGTGCGATAAAGAAAGCATTAGGCGTGATACCTATAACTTATTAAATAGTCAGTAGAGCAACTGGATCTCTCCTCTTTCCAACTCATATCATTTGTAGGTACGTTTTCTTTCTTTCCTTTTTTC